TCGTACAAAGGATTACTTACCTAATGATTAAGAATGATTCATCAAAAAAAAAAAAAACCGGATCAAACTTATTCTTTCAATTCATTCTATCACAAGGTCGACAAAACAAAGATTTGTGGGGGAGCGACACACGGCATATGATAAGGAAAACAGAAATCGCGTGTTTTTGCCTCATGTAAATCTTAGAATTTGATATTTAGAACGTTTTGTGATTCACTGGATGAAGAGAAAGTACCGGTTAAAAGAATTATTCGTGTTACAAATTCATTTAAATGAACTTTAATCACTAATTTAACTATTTTAATTGTATGGGGTTCTTTTTTTGGAATGCATTGCGGTATTTTATTTTTTTTTATTTTATTCTTTTTTTAAACAAAAAAAAAAAAAAAACTTATTATATATTTTAATATTTTAAATTTTAAATCACAAAGTAGGGGTTTAAATATCGTTATTAATTTTAAGTGACACGAAAATTGGAATTTTTTTTTTTTTTATTCTATTGGTTGTTTACCTATTACAGCACAGACATAAATTATTTATATTTAAGAAGCTGAAGTTTGAAATGTTTTTGGTCCCTTCATAAAGTTTTACGCTTCCTTTCCAATATCAACTTCCATATTCCGTAAGAAAAAAAATTGTCCGGGATGAATCGTGGTATCACTCTCCCTTAACAAAAATAGTCTGGAACTATTGTCATCAATCAGGCTTTCTTCTCGCTCTCGGTATCGTAAACCGTTTGATGTAAGCCTTCCCTGCAAAAATCGCGTGATTCCATTGGATTTGTTTCTTCTTACGGATTCCCTTTTACCTTTCATCCGATTCTTCGTCATCTCGTCATCTCGGGATCAAATGCCAACAACCTACGCGAATTGGTCGATCCCCCAATATACGGACATTTTATTTTTTATACATAAAAAAAAAAATCAAAAAAAAAAAAAAAAACATCAAAAAATCAAAAAAAAAACATTTTTTCTTTTTCTATTCACGTCGTTTTAGTTGTATATGCTGGACATTTAAAATGTAAATAATGAATTAAAAAGTGATTTAAAACGAACATTGTCAAAATTAGATTTCAGATATTAAATAATTAGACCGCCCTCACTCAAATAGTTGCACTCATTTTGATGAAATCATCGAATAGAAAAAATTTATGTGGTGTTGCTATTACTAGCTCTTTTGTAGTATTCAAAATAATTTTTTTCTTTTCCTTGAGATACATCAATTATCTTTTCGATCGTGATTGTTATTATTCTGCGAACTTTTGGCGCTTTATATTTTTTTTTATATTTTTTTATTATTCGATTCGTATTATTTTATATCGTACGGGTTTCGCAAAGTCTTACCCAGAGTTGGACAAAAAAAAAGGTAGACTTATTTCATTTTACTTTTTTAAATTTTTTTTTCGATAACAGTTGTATCGTTGTATCCATACAAATCATGATCCGTTACAAACATTAGAGTCGACTCTTTTACTAAGTTAAAAAAAAAAAAAGATTTCTTTTATTAGATCAGCTTTTATATGCCTTTTCGTTCCACCATTTAAGATAAATATTTGTAAGAATTATAAATTAGAATATATGTAAATAGCTAATCCGGCCGGAATTAGCACTTTTTGTTTGTATTTATTTTTATTTTTATTTTTCTTTTTAGAAATTAACAACATAAACAAAAAAAATATCGAGTTTTGGGAAATCATTTTTGTTTAATAAACAAATTAAAAAAGAGATTTAAAAAATGCCTTATCGATGGAGATTGTCTCGTGATATCCATTTATTTAATATTTTTTTTTTTTTTTTTTTTTTTTGTTGTTGTTTCTCGATCCTGCAGGGATTATTAAAATCTTAACGCAGTGTCCATTGAAAATCGGATCTGCATCTCACGCGAAAAAAAAAAAATTGTTTCTTGGCTTTCTGATTGATTGAACCAAAAAAAAAAGATCATCTTGGTACAGATGATGATGATTTGGCACAGTTAATTGGTCCGAAGTTGATTGGCCAGATCTGCATGCTTGAAACCTTGAAACCAAATATTTTCTTTTTTTTTTTTTAGTTCGAAAATGCAAATAAACACAAATCCTACAGGGTACGACAACCAATGATGACAAACGTCACGTTATATTCGAAATAAAAAAAAATTCATTCCTAATCTCATAGCTCATTTTGTTTTTCTGATGGGTTAAAAAAAATAATTAATCTTTACTGTACCTTGTTCGTTTTTTTAAAAAAACATGATATTAAAAAGTTTTGCTTCATTTTTCCTTGTATCAAAAGGATTTTGATACCTGTTGAATTCGGCATGAATCTCAATGAATAAATTCCAATTTCTTACTTTTTTAAAGGTACTACCCATTTTGATTTTGTCACCTTTGACGTGAGTTTACGTTTCCCAACTTTTGAAATTTTTTCGGAATTTAGGAAAATTATAATTGTCCGTAATTGTTTGGTAATAATCCATTGATTGGAAAGATTCTTTTTTGGTATCAAAAGTTCTTAACATTTTCGTAATTTTGTATCAATTATATATTATTTAATATTGGTCGAGACTTTTTGTGAATTAAGGCTATGATTGGTCAATTGACCAGCTGATCAACGATATAAAATCAAGAAAAAATATATATATTTAATCCCATCCTTATTTTTTAAATAACCATATCATGAACCTTTCCAATGCAATTATCCAATCCTTACATCTTTACTATCAGTTGTGATGAAATGAAGGGTATGTAGTTTTTTAATATCGTATATTCAAGAAAATAAAAAGACAAAAACAAAAAAAAAATTTTTTCATATGATGACCTTGTACATTAAAAAATCAAACTAGAGTTTCTGAGGAATAAATCAATGATTATAAGGTGCATAAACTGATAGTATCAAAACAAATGAGGTCATAAAAGTGATAAGAAAAATTGTTCCAATTCAATACTAATCATCTCTCTCTCTGTTTTGTAATATAAACAAAGGTTTTGGCGGAAATAAACATGAAAGGTAACGTATCATTATTTAAATATTGGGATAGAGAACGTGAGGTGTTTTTTTTTTTTGCAAGGATGAATAATGCAATAAAAGCTGGAATTACCGGCTGAAAATTTGTGTTGATAAAATTTTGCACCATAATTGGACTGAGCAAAAAAAAAAAAAAAAAAAAAAAGAAATTCATCTTAATGATAATGAAAATGAATGATATAAAATATATTATATTCTTATCAATTTTTCTTCTTTTCTTATCTTAACACAGTTCGAGCTTTGGAATCAAAAGTTTTCAAAGGTTACAGTAACATAGATACAGTGCTTTCGGTATGTTTACTTTTTTTAAATGAATGAATTTATTTTTGCAACTGATGAACAAGATGACGAGTCAGAAAAGAAGTCATTTCTTGCTTGTTGATAACCTTATCTTTTACCATTCATGCTTAACTGATGTTAATTATTTACGTAAAGTTAATCATCTATGATTATCGTTTAATCTTACCTATTAATATCTCTCTTGTTGTTAGTAACGAACCTTTATAATCTCGTGATTCTTCTTGGCCATCAAACGATCGAACCCTTGCAGTTACTTTTGGTGTTATCTAACTTGGTCGAGCATTTTAAGTATCGATATAGTAGAATCTCTAGGTAAGATTCATCGATATATTGTTGCTACTCTACGGTTTCAAATTGCATTATCTAAAAATTTGGCCATTTTTATTTTTGGTAAAAACTAATTTCGTTTAGATTGAAATTTATGGAAAAAAGAAGGTTCACCAAGATTAAGTGAGAGATAATTAGTTTCTATACTTGGCTTGGCTGGATGCTACCCTATTAAGACATGTCGCCCGAGTTAATGATTAGGTTTTTCAAACATCCATTCTTTCCAGTTTCCCGTATTGAATGACTGAGTGACCTACTGAATCCAATCTACCTAAAGATGGGATCGGAAACAAAAAAACATCATCGTCATTCGTCATCTCAATAACCTCAAGAGAGTAAAAAAATTTCCAAATGGATGAAACAATCCGAAAATTATTCCTTGGACGATCCGTCCGCACTCTTGGCGCAACATTCCCTCTAGTTTCTAGAGGAGTAATTAATTCTGGGGGTTACTTGTAAATAGGAGTGAGTTGCATTACCGTAGCAGGAGATGATTCGTCGTTCATTTTACGAGAAAAAAGGTAGACTAGGAAACGGGAACCATTGTTAAGCCCGGAACGATCTTAACTAAAAAAAATTCACACCGGTATTTGCTTTATCTAGACTTTTGTGCAATTACAAAAGCCAATCAGCATCGAACCAATTATTGAGCGGGCGGACATCGGGACACTTTGCATAGAATATATAGTCCTTCACTTCGTTCCGGACTAATGAATGGGAGATTTTGATAATTTTTGGCAGATTAATTAAACACCTGTCAAAAAAATTTAAACAATGGGGGTGGGGGTTTTCATTTCAGAAGCGTTACTAGATGAGATCCCAGTTTGACCTTTTTTTGAAAAAAAATCTGTTGGAAAATGATCCAGAATTCGTTATGGGTTTTCTTAATCAGATAAGAAAGTGGATTAAAAGTATTCACAGAAACGTGCTTAACCCAATGTACGAAACGGCATCTTCCAAAATTGTTCATCAATAGACATCACTTCGCTCGAGATAAGTTTTGGGTCCTTTTACAAATCCTTTCCCTTGAATATTCCAATTCACTTAATTATTATATATAACATCATTCACCACAACCCAAGAAGTGTGGATTCTTAAAAATTTGATATTTTCACTAACTTTGTAAAAATATAGTTCCATGCAACAAGTAAAAGTTGTACTTTTGCCTTTTATTAGATTGGCAATTCGAAAATGACAATAAAGTTTGCAATCATCCATTCAACATGAATTTAAATATTAATATCGTGGGTTTTAATGATGAATGCAATAATAAATTAAGTTTAAAAATAATCAAAAGATTCAATTCATAAAGCTTTTTATTATTTCATAAATTAAATCATTAAAAAATTATTCAGCTTTAGATTAATCAATCTATTTAGTTCTTTTATAAATCTTATTCATAAAAGTAATAAATACTTTACGTTTAACAAGAGAATCATCTAATTGTGAAATACAATCGTTTAATTTTTTATAAGATTGTTCCTCATATTCTTTATATAATTTCTCAAGTTCTAGTTCCTTATAAATTTGTTTAATAATGGCAACATTATCTGGATTTTTCTTTCCATAATTTTCCTAAATTATAGAATAATAAAAAAAATTAAATCTTTGAACGATAATGATAATGATTAGTTTATTCTTTACTCACATCTAATAATTTACGTTGTTCAGGAGATACTTTTGTTAATGCTTTATTCATTAACCAAGAACATTTATTATCTTGGATATCAGTTCCGATCTTTCCAATAACTTGTGGGTCTCCGTAGCAATCAAGGTAATCATCCTACCCAAAATCGTTAAAGTATTAGGATCAAAAAAAAAAAAAAAAAAAACCATCGCGTCTCGATTCTACTTACTTGAATTTGAAAATATTCGCCCAATGGTAACAAAATTTTCTTTGCCTGCTGGAAGGCCAGTTCCTTTTTAATTCCAGCCTAAGGAAAATAACGGGTTTTACAGGTTATACTTACGTATCATGTTCTAACTATATCAATAATAACGTACCATGTGCATTGCAAGCGCAACTGGAAGGTAAAATGAATAAAAAGCCGTTTTATAGAGTACAATGAGGTGGTATCTAAAATCAATGAATAATGGTAAATTATAAGAAATGTAAACAATATCACACAATATGTAATACCTACTTTTCAATTGAAAATCTATTCAAATCAACATTGTCTTCGGGTGCAGTTATTAAATCCAAAAGCTGTCCGAATTCAGTTTCTAATGTGATCTATCAAGCATACAAATTATCAAAGAGGTTTAGAATAAGATCATTAAAATAAAATAAATTGATTTTCCTCTTTGCATTCACCTCATGAAACAATTCAACCAAATCAATGTAATATGGCTCTTGGCGAAAATACTTTTTCAAAAAAAAATAAATAGCAGACTTCAATATGAATGCGTCATTAATCGCAATCATACCAACACCTTCCTATAATAAAGTTTTTTTTTTTTTTTTTTCACGAGAAACAATTAAATTCTATTTTCCAAAAATTTAAAAACAAACAAAATTATGAATGTTTACCATTTTGTACCAACATGGATTTCCACGACGTGTGATCGATGCATCCATGATGTCATCGGAAACGAGAAAGTACGCTTGGAGCTATGAATAACATCATTAATTGATATAATGACGCAATAATGATATAATTATATGATACATACAAACTCGACGCACCATCCCAAAACTCGAGACTTAAAAAGTTCTTCTTCGGTCAATTGATCATTCTTTAATATTTTGAGTGTATCAACAACCGATAATCCTCTATTCATTTTTCCTAATTATTTTATATTATTAAAAAAAAGACTTATCGAAATTATTCGTCAAAAGAGTTCGGTTTACCTCCGGGAACATTATGATAAAAATTCTATTAATTTAATATCGAGTTAATAAATAATCGAAAGTTTGTTCAAAAAAATTAAAATTAATTATTTGCCTTCTTAATCCATTCCACAGATTCTTCAGGAAAATTTCTAGCACGAGCTTCCTTCAAAAATTCTTCGGTGAGAATGGGGAATAGGTCTGTAAAGCATTTTGTAGCTTGTTCTTTTGTTCCTTGAGTAGACATTTTTAAGGAATAATTTTTTTTTTTTTTTTTTTTTATGAATTAAATAGATATTTTTCGCACATCAAATTTCCAATTTTTGATGATTGACCCGATTAAATGACTAATACAGGTTTCTTTATTTATGCAGCGTTCAATAAACTGCAAGCAAACAAACACATTATTTCTAATGAATTTGGAAAAACAATAACTCTTTTTTAACGATCATATTTTATTTGTAATTATCATATATATTTTATTGTAACAAAATGTTGAGTTAATTCGTTTATAAACAACTAATTATTATTGTTCTTGTCGCGGTTGTTCTTGTCTATCACCATGATGTTGTTCAATAATATTAATCGAATGATTTTGCAAATCTTCGATGGTAACCGAATGATCTCTCTCCGCTTTGACCTAATTTAATTAGAAAGGGGATGAGATTTTTAAAAGCCGTAAGATTTTATGATTGGATGTAAATCTTACCGCTGCTTCGCTTTCGGATGCTAAATTTTCACTCCACCCTGGAGCTGATTTAATTGTACTCGTTTTTTCTAATCAATTGAATTGTTTAAAATAATTATTACCCCAAATCGAGTTTTTTTTTTTTTTTTTTTTTATTGTTAAATTTTAAAGTATTAACCTTTCTTCACGACCTTTTCTTTTTCTTGCTTTACAATTTCCGGATCAATAGACATGTGACTAAATAAACACGTATAATTAAAAAATTATTTCAAAGCTACTTTTAAATTTTTTTTTTATTTTTATATTACCTTCCAAGAGGTGAAAGGACTCGTGAAAATTTGAACGAGAATTGACGAGTTTGCATGAGAAATGAACCTGCGAACAATTGACGCGATTTCAAAAATAGAGTCGACATATTCTTTTTATAAAGATTAAAACAATTTTTTTTTTTTTCCGAAAGGATTGATCTGAAAATTTATTTTTATTTTTATTTTTTTTTTTTTTGGTCGTTGTTAAAACTCCCCTCTTATATACTTAAATTCCCTCCCACTTTTGGATAACAACACTATGATGATATCCTAAAATTTAATTTTTGACGGGCAAAATAATTCGAGACTAAAAATCAGATGACGCATAATTACATAATTTATAAATCATTCATCATACAACTAGAACTTTTAACCAAATTCTTCTTAGCAGGTGATGAGCATTGATTGATTTGGCTACCACACACGCGTGAAAGAGACTTTTTATGATTTTTAAAACAAAGATCTTTATTTCGTAATCAGAAAACAAAAAACATGTGTAGAGAAAAGGAAAAAAAAAAAAATAAGAAATTTCTTGAAATCGACGCGTACTTTGATTAGGTGATCGTCATATTCGGCTTGCGTTAATTTACTTTATTTACTCGAGGATCTTTTCAATATTCACAAGCTTGTAAGCTGCCATTTGGTTAAAAGTTCAAAAAATCAAACATGTAATCATTATATGAGAAATAAAATCGTTAATAAAAGAACGAATTCGTTTTAAATTATATCCTTGCCTGTTTCCTAACATACAGGAAAAAAAAAATTTAAATTAAATTGAGTTCTTTCACATTTGAAAAAATATTTTTATATATTTATTTATGAACGTGAATAAATTAATAAATCCTTTACTTTATGGGTGTTTGAATTCTCAATCAAGATCCTTGGATCAGTTTCAGACGCTTTCACTTGAACTTGCCTATGACCCGCAACCTTGATAGACAAGGATCATATTTTATGTAGTGACATTTTAAAGAAGAGTGAACAAGATTAATTATCATTCTCTTACTTCAGGTTCGGTAATAATTTCCTTGATAACGCCTTCGGTAGTCTGTTGAGAACCTCCGACTGGATGGTAAAGAACTCGTTGGCCGACCTTAAGGTCGTCCAAGCTGACGACAGGTGAAATTTCTTCTCCGGATTTATCAACGGGCATTTTTATTTTTTAATAAAAAAGAAATTGGATAAAATTTTTATAAAGGTTTGGGTAAAGCTTTAGATATATATATATATTTTTTTTTTTGGTTGTTTGTGGAGTGAAAAGATATTATTCTCCGGTGGGTTATTTATATTAATTGCCCAATCTCATTGAAATGAGAAGAAACAAATGTTCAATATGTCATGATCACGAAAACATTACGTCCTTTACTTATTTTCACGACTTTTCACGATTTTATTATGTCGATATGTCATCTAGATGACGGTTACTTTCTGATAAAAATGATACAAAAGTTTGATCACTTTATTTCATTGTTTATACAAATAAATTATCATTCATGATGTAATTACATTTTTTTTATTTAAAAAAAGAAAGAGATGGCATGCTTTCTTTCTACTAATAATGGGTGGGTTAAAACTAACAAACAATCGCCTTTCATATGCAAGCAATTAAGTTTTTAAAGCGCTAAAAATTATATTATGCGTTGTAGATCTTTTGATCCCGCCATTTTCCTTTTGTTACACACGAAAAGGTAAAAATACAATCCCGATTCGTTCGTATGAACATAATTCATTTATTCCCTTTTCCCTTCAAAGAAATTTTCGAAAATGAAATCACACAGTCTCTCACAATTCTTTTTCTCTGTTCTTTTATTCACAATCCTTACCACTTCTGTTCTGTCCATAACATGTCCACCAGAATATACTGATGAAGTTAATTATACGAATGCAAAAACACGCTACATAGTCTCCCTTAAAAAATCCGAACAATCCTCTTCCGATGTTGAAACTCATTTCGCCTATTTACGTGATTGTATGAATAGAATTCTAGTTTATTCCTCGCAAGTGGATTATCATGGTACAATTAATGATACCATTATTAGTGAAAATCAAAAAGTAATTTATATTTTGAAAACTGTGAATATTTATTATGGATGGTTTGATCCAAATTACGTTGTTGAGAGATTGAGCAAGTTAGAAATTGTTAATAGTGCTGAAAAAGATCAAAAAGTTTCTATTAATTAATATGATAATCTTAAATCTTATTTTTACAGTTTTTTTTTTTTATTATTATTATTATTATTATATAATAGAATTTTAAATACAAAATTTTGAAAATAATTTATTTAAAATTACGGGCTATTAACTTCGCAATAGTCGTCAATTGCATATTGGAAGTGCCCTCATAAATGGAACCGATTTTCGCATCCCTGTAATATTTTTCAACTGGGAATTCTCTCGTAAAACCAACACCACCCATCCATTCAATAGCCTTGGATGCGGTCCTTTCAGCAACTTGAGATGAATATAATTTTGCCATAGCTGCTTCTTTAATAAAATCTTTTCCTTCTTCTTTCAACCTAGCCGCATTATAAGTTAGTAATCTGGCAGCTTCTATTTCCGTGGCCACTGTAATGTAATATAAATTATATCAGATAACTAGTTGATTGTACCCACTTATCTGTGTGTAAATTTCTTACCTTGAGCATATTGATGTTGCATGCCCTTTAAAATGAATCACATTATTTTCTTGATCATATCATTAATAAAATAATTTACAAATATTAAAGCTTACCTGGAATTCTCCGATTAATTTATTAAATGCCTTCCTTTGAAACATATAACTTAATGCTTGATCATATACCCCTTGAGATAATCCTATCATTTGAGCGGCTATACCGATACGCCCTTCGTTAAGAATCTCAATCGCATATTTATAACCTTTATGATTGTGACAAGATGTTATTATTATAAGTTGAAAAACGAAAATATAATAATATCGTAAAAGTACTACCTTTGAATAATTCCCCCAATACATTTTCTTCTGGCACCTAGATTTTGTCATTGAAATAAAGACTAAATTAAAATTGTTTGGTTAGGATTTCTTTTTTATCATCCTATTACCTTGACATTATCAAAATTCAATGAACAGGTCGAAGAAGCTCTAATACCGAGCTAAAAAAAAAAAAATTAATTAGATTAGTGAATTATATACACGTCATATATAATTTATATGTATATGAAATTGCAATGAACCTTTGATTCCTTCTTTGCGATCTCGACTCCCATGCCTTTCTCAACAACGAAACATGAAATTCCCTTGTATCCCTTTGAAGGGTCTAATTAAACGTCACGCGTAAATTTCGATTAAGCCATTAAACAAAACAGAAATATTCTGAAATTTTACCTAAATTGGCAAAAACCAAAAAAATTTCAGCTTCGGCAGAATTAGTGATCCACGCCTTTGTACCGTTGATAATGAAATGTCCTCCATTCTTCTCAGCGCGAGTTTTTAACGCGAACGCATCACTGCCAGCTCCGGCTTCGGATAAACAAAAGCAACCAACCTAAGATTTTAGTTCGAATAAATTACATTTAAATTACGAATGAAAATTTTCATAACAAATCCCTCAAGAATTGTTCGTTACCTTTTCAGATACAAGTTGAGGCAAATATTTTTTTTTCACAAAGTCATTACCATACTTGCGAAATAATGTATTAACTAGTGTATTCTAGAAATTTCGAGGAAATTTTTTTTTTTTAACAATATTTGGTCAGGCTAGATATTCGGTATATTATAATTGATTTTAAACCAACCTGGACATCACATGCAACACTAACAGAAGGATCTACTTTTGCAAGTTCTTTTTGTATATAAAAAAAAAAAAAAAATAATAATGTTACAAATTTTCGAAATTTGTTGAAAATAAACTTTAAATTTATCTAGTGAAATACCTTCAATAACCAATATAGCAGACAAAAATGAAGCACCAGTACCGTCATATTCGTGTTCTGTTTCTACTCCCATGAACTGAAAAAATTATATTAGACTAAAGGTTGTTTACGTTCTAGGTACTACAATAACAATAATGATTCATAAACGAACCCCTAGCTCAAAAAGGCCTTTAATAATTGAGGGATCAAGTCTTTCGTCCTCGTCCATTTTTTGCACAAGAGGTTTTACTTTATCTTGCGTAAAACGTGCAGCTTTTCATTAAAAAGAAAAGTTAATGCGTTGTTTTTTAAAGGTTAGCAAAAAAGGAATAATTAATTTACCCAAATCACGAATACTTTCTTCTTCTTCGGTCAATGAGTTAAGGGACGGTATAGAAGTAGCATAACGAGAGAAAATAGCTTGTTGAAAGGCCCTTTTTTACAATAAATGTTATTTTTAGTAAGTACCCAATAACAAAAGTTATGCGAAAGCAAAATTATTACATACTTTGGTCTTGCAATTCTGCCACTAAAAGACAACTTGTTTTGTTTGAGAGCTAGAGAAAATCTATTTCTAGTGAATGAGGCAAGCGACATTTCGAAGGAGGAAAAAAAAATTAAGACGATACAAAATTTTGATCAAAGATAAAATGTACATATATCGAGATATCGAGGTATGAGTGAACAAGATTTAGGATATTCCAATGATTTGCCATAAATAGAAAGGACTTATAATTACTCGTGACCTATCATCATTCGGATATTCTAATCAAGATCAAAATAAATTTTTAACGAGAACGTCTCGCAACAAAGATAAATTAAAGTTATTTTATAATGGTGAGTGGAATAGTTACCATCCGTTTGTAATCTTCAATCAATATTATATACTTTCATGGATAAATATTAAATAATACAATACTAGCATTTAAATAAAAGTTTGAAAGGAATAAATCCTTTGATTGATTGATTTAGAAAATTTTCAAATCATGGCCGAGTTCAAAATTTCAAACATCATTACATATCGAACCTAAACAGAAACTAATATTTAATTATTGATTTATTTCAATAGGCTACTTCTGTCAAAGCTCACGAGATTCGCGAAAAGACCAAATCCGAACTTGACAAACAACTTGAAGATCTTAAGAAAGAACTTGTCAGCTTAAAGGTTCAAAAAATCGCTGGTGGTGCAGCATCAAAGTTAACAAAACTGTAGGTAGACAGTAGATGAAGAAAGCTACTTGATTATTAAGAAAAAAAAAAATTAATTGGTTGATGATACTTTAAAACATAGGCGCGAGGTCCGCAAGTCTATTGCACGTGTTAACACTGTAATCTCACAGAAGCAACGAACCGAACTTCGCAAGCTCTATAGAGGCAAAAAATACAAGCCCACAGATCTTCGACCGAAAAAAACTCGTGCTATTCGTCGTCGTTTGTCAAAAGTAAGAATTTATCATGTTCAATGGTTAATTTGTTTGATTAACTTATTGATCTCTTTTTATTTCTTTTTTGTAGAATGAGGCCAAAAAGACGACTCTGCGGTAAATTTTATTCTTTGAAGTTATAAAAATGAACGCTTCACACGTTATTATATTAATTAAAATCATATTCAAATTTAATTATTCTAGTGCTCATAAAAAGGCCATTCATTTTCCTCAACGAAAATTTGCTGTAAAAGCATAAATAATCCTTTTCGAATAATAATGTAACTTAATAGTGTTAATATTTACGGATAATTGCAATGCAATAATAAATTGCGACCTTAGAAAACACGAATAAATAAAATGAAATACCTGTTCTTTGAGTTTATGATTTATATCCTCTTGGATTAAGCGGCAAAATCTTCCTCCTCTTTTAATCTTCGCAAATGTTTATTTACAACATACAAAACTCTTGTGTAAACATCATTACGTTATTAAATGATTTTTATTTTTTTTCTTTGTAATTGAAACTGAAATGAGGTCTCTCCTACTTACTCGTCAATATTCTTGTTACCTGGTCGAAGAGTAAGCTTTTTCCCGTCGCCTATTGTAATTTATTGGTTATTATTATAAAGCAAAGAGCTAAAAAATTAGAAGGATCAACGAGATATACTACACACGATAGATTATGTTAATGGTTGGATCCTGGTTCGGATCGGAAAGGACTGTTGTATTAATGGTAGCGCCCGGATTTGCAAGACGGGCCTTGTCTGTCATAACTCTTGCAAGGAAAAGTCTATTATGAAAAAAATAAAGGAAAAAAAAAAAAAATTAATAAGAATTTGTAAGAAACAGATATTCATTCAATTTGTTTACCTTGAAGACTTGGCCGACGGTGAAAAGGGAGCAAATTTGATGTCAACTTGATTAATATACTTCAACATTGGTGTAGAATGTGAAAATCAAAAAGAAAGAAAAAGCAGATGTTGAAGTAATTATAAATGCAGTTGATAATCAAATAAATGTTACGTATTTCGCGTCAATTTCGCTTGGAATTATCAAATTAATCAATTAATTTATGCCGTGTAACTTTCAAACTTATTTTAATAAAAGAAATAGAAATGTTAGTTTCGAAATCAAATATTTCTTGCCATTCCGACTATAGCCAGACGATTATTTATAAACTTTATTATTGTTATTCTAAGCAGCTTGTTTGTTTGTAAACTTTTTTTTATTTATTTATTATTACTTTGTTATTTTCGATACGATCTCCAGAAATAAAATAAATATAAAGATAAGATTATATTATATTGTAAATGATTCTTTCTATAGATTTTTTCATTCGCATTTTATCTCTCTCATTTTTTCATCCCTCATTTGTTCTTATATTCCTTCCGTATCTATACGCTCAAGGCTATGGGTTCACTACTTCAGAATTTTTATGGAGTAGTTTATACGCGGGCATTGTGTGTTTCTTCTGGTTTTTGGGTTATTTAAGTTTAAAGAGTAGAAACGGCTTGAAGAGTACCAAAATTAACTGGGATGACGAGATAGTGGTTGTGACTGGAGGCTCTGGTGGCGTTGGTGGTCTTTTAGCCGAAACATTGGCGATCAGAAACGTGACGGTGATCATATTAGACGTTAAACCTCCTGAGAATGAGCATGGTATGATTTATTTAATTGGTTATGAGATGAAAACTATAATTGTGCTAAATATTCTTGATTTTAATTAATTAGTTAATATTGAATACTTTAAATGTGATGTATCAAATTATGAAGAGGTTCAGCGCGTTGGTAAAGAAATAATAGAAGAGGTAAATTCATCAAGTTCTCATATAATGAATGTATTTATTTATTTATTTAATATTTTTACACCTTAAAGTTTGGCAACCCAACAATACTTGTAAACAATGCAGCCATCGTTAGAGGGAAAACCATTCTTGAAGGATCAGTACGCGATATCACGGAGTAAGTTTTTTTTTAGAATTCATGATCTAAATTAGATTTATGGTGGTTAATCTTAATCTCACCTTTTTTTTTTTTTTATTTGTTTAGTACTATAAATACAAACTTGCTATCTTCTTTTTGGACCACAAAAGTTTTTTTACCGGATATGATTGAGAATAATCACGGTCATATTGTAAATATTTAATTAATCAAAGTTTATTTAAGACGTTTTCTGTTTAAATTCAAAATTTTTTCAACTCAATTATTTCAAAGGTAACGGTAGCATCTTCAATTGGATTTAGTGGATTGCCTCAATTGGGTGAGCCAAGGATTTCAATTTTTTTTTAACCTTTTCAACTTGAACTATAAATTAGCAATTCATTAATTTTTTTTGAAATTTTACTAAAGCCGATTATTGTGCAAGTAAAGCTGCTTTGATTAGTTTTCACGAATCACTTCGTTATGAATTGGATACACGGTAATCTTTATATTAAATGTTTTTAAAGATATAATGTTTCTCTTTTTATTAAAAACGATATTTTATTTTTTTAAAAATTAAAGATACAATGCCAAACAAGTTCGCACAACTCTTTTATGTCCTGGTGAAATAGATACCGGACTATTTGATGGAGTCGAATTTCCGTTTCCGTTTATTACGCCTCGTTTAGCACCATTAGATGTGGTAAAACCTATCATTACTGCGTTAGATAAAAATGAAGGACATGTCATCTTCAAACCTTACTTTGTTTATTTGATGCCTTTATTGAGATTCCTTCCATCATTCATACAGGATCTCGTTCACAAGGTATATATACTATTTTATCATTATTCCAAATAATTTGAATGACAAACTTATATCTCTGTTTTATAATTTTTGTCAAGTTTTCTGGGGCTAATGATGGAATGAAAACATGGAGAGGTAAACAAAATGACTCTAAAAAAGATCAATGAAGTCGAAATCAATGAACTTTATAACAAACTACAGTCGACTCTTGACTCTGAACGAAAGCTTCGGTATATCGAGAGTACTGCAATTTTTATATAATAAATTGAACAAATTATTTAATTTCAAATAATAATAATCTTTTGTCTTGTTATAACTAAATTGTTTTTCGTTTTATAAACTTCGAAACTCTTAATCAAATTGGTTTTTGGATAACGATCAAGAAAGATTAGTCATGCACAATTAAATTAACACATTGACACCAATCACCCCAACCGTTTTGAATTTACGATACATTTAAAATAAATTACGAGACGCAGATCCTATTCGCCACTTGTATTTTGAATGCAAAAATATTATTATTATAAAGCATCGTAACATTATGCACTGAGGATACATAAAAAATTAAATATATATGTTAAATAAAAACTATGAAAATAAAAATTTTTTACATATATATATATTTATTTGACATGGTAAAAATTGCTATTTAATTTTAAGATATACCAAAGGTAATAAAGGTAAGAACAAGATTACTTATATTTCTGCACGTCTCTCAGGCAACAAACTTCTCCCTAATCCAGTTTTAGAATATTGTTCCTCTTCAATCAACCTGTTAATTGCATTTATATAAGCCTTTGCACTTGCTGTAACTATATCTACATCCGTACCATGACCATGATATGTACTTTTAGTCAGTACTCTTGAATCAATTGGAGTCTCAACTTCGGGAGAGCCATTATCTGCTAAAGAAATATCAACATCTTCGGTAATCTTAACAATAACTTTTCCCAAAGCATCCATTCCCTCTGAAACGGCACGAACTTCATAATGCAATAAACGTATTTTTCGTTGTATTAAGCGTTGGATGGCTCCAAATACTGCCATAATTGGTCCAGAACGTCCAATGGCAGCATCAATTAGTTCCTTATTTTCTGGAACATCTAGCAACTTAACTGTTGCAGTCGACATATCATGAGTACCAGAGACGACCTGAATTGATTGCAAATTAAATCGTTGTGATCCGACTACAGCTCCGGAAGAAACCTGATCTGATAATAAGGCCAAAAGGTCATGCTCCGTAACACGTTTCTTTGTGTCGGCAAGAGCTTTAAAACTTTCAAAGGCTGCGCCAACTTCTTTTTCATTCATATCACCAAATCCTAATTCTGCAATTCGCGAACGAAACGCGTTTCGACCTGAAAGTTTACCCAAAACTAAGTTTACATTTATAACACCAACGTCTTCAGGACGAAGAATTTCATAAGTTAGCTTGTTCTTCAATACACCATCTTGATGAATACCAGATTCATGTAGGAAAGCATTGGCACCCACAATTGCTTTGTTAGGTTGCACCACCATTCCAGAAAGAGATGAAACTAAATTAGAAGTACGATATATTTGTTGTGTATTGATAGTATGATACACGGGGTAAGAAGTGGGATGTGTGTGGATATTCATTATCACTTCTTCTAATGGAGTGTTGCCTATATTATAAAAATGAAGACAGATTAGAAAATATTAAAAATATGATGCTTAATATATAAAGTTCCTTCCATTTAGAAACAACCATACCAGCACGTTCGCCAATGCCATTGATAGATACTTCGATTTGTCTGGCACCGTTTAGGACACCAGATAAAGTATTTGCAGTGGCCAATCCCAAGTCATCATGACAATGAGTTGACCAAATGACCTATAAAATAATGTAAATTGTATTGGCAAAAAAAAAAAAAATAAATAATAACAAAGTAAAATAATTTTTTACCTTATCTGATCCACGTGTATTCTCGATCAAATACTTGATTAATCCTCCATATTCAACTGGGTTATTATAACCAACTGTATCTGGTAGATTAATCGTTGTTACACCTGCCTCAATAACTTTTTCCAAGACCCGACATAGGAATTCCTTATCACTTCTACCAGAATCCTCACTACTAAATTCTACATCATTACAAAGAGATCTTGCATACTCAACCGCTGTAGCGGCGCGCCTTATACATTCCTCACGATCAATCTTTAGTTTATATTTTAGGTGTATATCTGACGTGGCAAGGAACGTGTGAATTCGGTGTAAGGGAGCTTGTGATACAGCATCATAACAACGTTTGATGTCTTTTTCAGTAGCACGAGACAGTCCAGCTATAATCTAAAATTTATGCACATTTTCTTTTGAATTTAAATCAAAAAATACAAATCGTATTATGAATTTTCACAAACTACTAACCACAGGCTTGCCTATTTTTTCTCTTCCATTCATTGAAGGACCAACTTCCCTTGCAATACGAGCTACTGCTTCAAAATCTCCCTGTGAAGCAATAGGAAACCCAGCTTCGATAACATCAACACCAAGACTGGAAAGGTGTCGAGCAATTTCAAGTTTTTCTTCCGCTTTGAAGGTTACACCCGGTGACTAAAAAAAAAAATATTTTTTCAGGCAAATAAAAGATAAGGTTTAATTCATTCGCAAGGAATACACGTTTATTTTACAATGAAAATGATTACCTGCTCCCCGTCGCGTAAAGTTGTATCAAAAACTATTAATTTATCTTTTTTTGCTTCATTGCTCATATAACGATATTGTTTAAATGCTGGAACAATTATAGAGCGATTCCTCGTTACTTGTGTTGTAAAAGGTAAATTTATGATTTGTTTCGTTATTGGGAAACGGTAAAAGTTAGAAATTTTCGTAAGCATTATGTTAATTGTGATTATGTTTTGAACCTGAAATGATTTTTTGAAATTTCCCTTTAGATATAAACACCAACGATCGTCGACAAATGATCGTCAATCTTTTTTCATATTTTTTTTCTTTGATGAGTCATAATTTCTACAACGAATAATATGTCAACTTGACTCATTTTTTTTAAAAATATAAGTTTTAATATACGCGATTTCAATCAATATTTAAGTTTGGTACTATAGGCCATGATTTAATATTCAAAAAAAGATGTGGTTTCTATAATAATAAGAAAAAATTTAACAAAAAAAACAATGCCCCCATAAGGATAAACTGGTTTACATAAAGAAATAATTAAAATCTCCAAATAGGAAATCAGATTGCCTCTTAAATCTTTAGCATGACGCGTATGTCGCCTTTTTGAAATTTGAATTTTGTTTATTTTTTTGTTTATTTTTTTTTTTTTTTTTAACAGTAATATTATTAAGTCTAATTAATAAAATACAAGAATAAATTTTTTGGAAAGAAAAAAATCTATAGGAAGCTATAAACAAAATTATAGGGTAGATATTTTTTTTACAGTTTAGTATTCGCAAAGAATTTCATTAAAATGCTATCAAGTGTGTAATTGACGAGAGAGAGGGATAGGGATAGTGAGAGAGAAAATGACCTGTCTTTTTGAAGACTAAAAAATATTGAAAATGTTTCCATATTTAACATCCGTTGTCTTTGAAAGCCCTCTTCAAAGAATCTCATAACCAACCTTTCTCGCCCTTTCTTGGATATTAAAAGTAGGCGAAACGCAGTTGGTGATTAACCATCAACGTAAATTCTTTTTTGCCCTCTTCAAACTATGTTTGGACTTCCAGCAGGTAAATTATCTATTGCGGTATGATTGGTATCAGTTTGCCTTGGTTGACCGGCAGCATTCGGTTCAGAAGTAATTGGTGCTCCTATTGAGGCTGGAACCAAACTTGATAACATTGTAGCAGCTGCAAATGCCTTTGAACGTGTCTCATATTTTTCCTTTTTATCACCAAAATGAGCTCTGATTCTACCACCACGAAGTGTTTTAAAGACCCTTAATCTATTTTGCATCTCTATAATCGCGTCGAATTCTTTTTCACGTTGTACTTGTGTTGCAGTTTCAGTACTTGGGCGGAGACCACAACAAATTAATTCAGTAGGAATTAAACGAATAATGACACCGACAGGGATTGATAAGAATCCAAAACCAACGCATATTAACCACTGTATTATATTAAGCCGTGTGGCTTGAAAAGCAGCACTACCAAACTGAACAATCAAAGCCTGTCCAATAACCATTATAAAGAAAATAATAATTAAAAATTTATTTGCCAAAGCACCTTTAAGAACATTTAACTTGTGATCCAAACGTCGACAACTATAAAAAAAGTACAAATTATTCGATTAAAAAATATTACTACAATTCAGAAAATTTTATTTTTATTTTTCATTAAACTTACTTGATTTCATTAAAGATTTGCAGGAATACGAATGTATTAAATATAACGGTTCTCATCACCGGTTGATCATAATTAAATATCGTTTCACCTCCATAAAATAAAATCAAAGTAATCACCAATTGAAATATACTTTGACCGATAATCATCTTCCACATATCTAAAGTGATTAAAGGTGCATTTTTGGGTTCAGGCTCACGATCTAACAAATCGAGAGTGGGTGGATCTGTGGCAAGAGCAAGTGCGGCAAAGGTATCCATGATAAGATTGACCCATAATAATTGAACAGCTGAAAGAACGGATCTTTGATCACTGCTTGACACGGCCGTAACGAAAGTAAGCAACACAGCGGTAACATTAACCGTTAGCTGGAATTGTAAAAATTTCTTTACGGCATCGTTTACACTTCTACCCCACATAATAGCCTTGACAATACTTGAAAAATTATCGTCCATTAAAATGATAGATGAAGCTTCCTTGGCTACTTCTGTACCAGCTATGCCCATCGAAAAGCCAACATCAGAAAGTTTTAGAGCAGGACCATCATTTGTACCATCACCGGTGACAGCAACGACTTCGCCTAATTCTTTAAGACGTCCAACCAATATTTTCTTATCTTCAGGACTAGATCGAGCAAGAACTTGAAGATTTGGTAATAACGCCTTCATTTCTTGAGGCGAAAGATTACGAAAAGCAGGACCTTCCATAACCTCACCACCTGTATAAATTCCACATTGTGTAGCTATCGATTTGGCAGTTAAAATATTGTCACCAGTGACCATACGAACTGTCACACCAGCCTTTTTACACATTTGAACTGCATCTCGAACTCCTTCTCTCAGCGGATCTTCGATACCCACGATACTCAATAATGTGACACCATCGACTAATTCCTCGTAAGGAACGTCACCTTCAACATTTAACGTCATGTTCTTTGGTGGCCATTCTTCAAAATCACGATAAGCAATCCCTATTGTTCTTAGACTTTGACTGGCATATGTCTCAATTATATTATTTAACTTATCAGTTTGTTCTTTATCTAGATCATCCACTCCAAAAGTGGCATTATCATTGGATTCAAATTTCACTATTCTTTTTGCTTTTTTTAACAAAACTTCGCTTGCACCCTTTACGTAAAATCTCCATTTAGAATCAGTTTCTATAACTACACCCATCGCTTTTCTCTCTGAGCTAAACGGGAATAATTGTTTAATTTCGGCATTCTCTCTTAATGATTTAACATTATCAAGATCCAAATCCAATAAAAATCCTAATAATGCAGTTTCGGTTTTAGAACCAACAAAAGTTCTATTACCATTTTCAGGATCACCTTCAAAAGCCGAGGAATTAATGGCTATCGAATAGTTCAATAATTTTATGATATCATCGGGGAGTTTAGATTTTAATTGTTGTATCGAAATAGGATTATCCAAGATATCGGTACCCTGGCGAGGATTATTTTTAGGTTCGAAAGATTGGGCTTCGGCATCTCTAGCAAACGAGACAGATAAACCTATCGTTCCAGCAACAACAGTCATTTTATTTTGCGTTAATGTTCCAGTTTTATCTGAACAAACTGTCGTTGCATTACCCATAGTTTCACAAGCTGAGAGAACACGTACAAGATTGTTATCCTTAAGCATACGTGTTGTGGCATATGCGAGCGCTGTGAATAATATAATATCATAATATCAGTTTATATTTGTGTATTAAAGGGTGATCAGAGGGGAAAAAAATTACCTAATGTTACTGCTAAAGGCAGACCTTCTGGTACTGCAACCACAATAATTGTAACCGTTGAAATAATGATTCTAATTAAATTATCCAATACTTGGAAAACGCCTGGTACACCGTTACGAAAACTAACAAAATATATTATAATGAGAACTATAAACATCAGAAGAGCTGCAGCACCGCCCAACTTTGCGATTCTTTCGGCAAGATCATTCAATTTCATTTGGAGAGGTGTGTCTTCAGGATCAGTCCTTAAAGCTATTACGGGATAATTAAGAAAGTTCTTATCTTTTTGTAATATAAGAAAAACATTTTATAAAATTGATACTCACACATCATAATTTTGCCATGAAAAGAATTGACACCGATACCGGTGACAATGTAAACCCCAACTCCTTCCAATACTTTACTACCACTGAGTATGAAAGGATCCGATTTAGAGTGAAATGAATATACACCCCCATCTTCCTTTTCAGATTCTTTTAAACAATCTTCATATTTCAATTTTCTTACAGCATCACTTTCACCTGTAGCAGCTGATTCATCACAACGTAAATTATGTCCAGCAACTAAGACACCATCAACCGCGATGATGTCACCAGGTTCCAAATGAAGTACATCTCCTACGAGGATATCATGTACTGATATAAGAGATTCTCTACCATTCCTTATAACTTTCACATTACGATCCTCTTTTTTAGCATTTAGCTTTTGAAATTGTTTTTCTTTTTGCCAATCGTTCAGACTACCAACCATAACAACGATGATGATCGCGACAATAATGGCAACCCCTTCTACCCAACGGATTTTAGGTTGATTGGCAGATTCGGCTTCTTGAAGAGGTCCAAAATCTTCAAAAATACCAAGACCTAATGAAACGAAAGCAGCTACCGTTAAAAGAATCAAAACCTTTTCTTGCATTGCAATCCACATTAATTGAAAAATGGTTTTTGGTTTCTTTTCAGGCAATAAATTCGTGCCGAAAGCTTTTATTCTCTGATAAAACGGAGCACCTTCTTCAGGTATTTGACCGACAACTAACGTTTGTTGTGCATTATCTTCATTTTCTATAACACTACCGTCTTCAGGCAATTCTTTAGTTATATCTTTAAAAGATATCTGTTTCAAAGGGGTGGATTCATCTCTACTTAAACCAGTTTGAGGGTCGGTATGTAGACCCTTTATTAAACCATCGATTCCTCCATAACTCTTTAATAATGAAAGATTTTTCGGGTCTATGAGACGATAAAGTTGCGTTGGGGTGAAGGCAAATGGACTAGGTATATTTGGCGGTGTTGTTTCCTCTGAATTAAGAGGTTGAATAGTAGTTGACTGACTCATTTTTTTTTTTAGTTTCGCTAAAGAAGTTCTTTAAGAACAGTTCCTGCATTATGTTTTTAGATAATTAATTTATGTGATACTATTTTTTCATGGAATTCTTTCATGTTTGAACTTTTCTAAATATAGACTAGAAAGACGTGCTCACCCCGGTAATGAATTTACTTTGCGTCACATTTAATTTATATTGGGTATTACGAAATAAATTAATGAGAGTTACAATTTTCCGAATGATGTTACAATGACATAAAACATACTAAAGGTTATACATCACTATAATGTTTCGATTGAATTCTTTTGTGGAATTCTAAACAGAAACTCTTACACTTCTAAATAGAATTATTTATATAGTACATGTTCTACAAAGGGCACGATCTTCTAGCAAATCGGTATCAATTCATAAACTTATTAACTAAATGGGGATTTACTTCAGGTTGACAAAAAGCTCATGAAAGTGAAAGACTATTCTAATCAAAAAAGAAAAGAGAACATCCATTTGGAAATAAAGGGGTTTTTTTTAATAATTTTTTGTTTAGTAAATAAATCCCGTTGGACCAGAAGGCACGCCTCAATAAATTACAAATGAGAATCTTACATGATTGTGTGATACAGTATATGTTGTATATGTTTTTCGTGTGGTAAATAATATAAATAATAAGGCTGTATATGGTTTTTAAATTTCTAAAAATATAAAAATAATAGGATTTATTATTGGTTATCATGATGATTCGGTATATCCACTTCGGAATTGTTTAGAATTTATATCTAATAATTAATTATTTTCAATACTTATTTCTTAAGACAATGTTAACAAACAATATTTACGATGAACGGAGAATTTTAATCTATTATAGTTGTGTAGTGTCAAACAATTCCATTTCTTTTTATTCCAAACTGATATTTATTATTTTGTCTCTCCAAAGAATTTAATATTCTAAAAAAGACAAGACATAATAAACCAAATAATAAATATAAATGTACTGTAACTCACTTTCATCCTTATAAGAATCTCGATCTGTGAATAAAATTTATCCTTAATATTATGTCTCTGCTCCAAATTTAAGCCAACTCTTGGCTGTTTGCACAATCGGTGTTTAATTAAAAATAAGGATTCATCAAATCAATTTTTATTTATTTGCATGTAGAATAAGTAAATAAGTAATAATAATAAAAAAAAAAGTTTTCAAAAATATATATATTATTTATTTATGAAAGGACATAACCGTTCTTTAACATATGTTTGATAATATAATATCCATAATGATAATTACAAAAGAGATCTGTATCGTAAATAACTGGCATGCTCAGCCGTAGCTTCCATTGGCAGTATTATTAAAAGAGGTTATGAATAAGCTATATTGAGAGGAGGATGTGACGGTGGTTTTCCAACCGAAAGTAGGAGGAATTTTTTAACATTTGGTCCATCACCCGCTTGAATAATTACATCATAATCATCGCCGCTTGTTAAAAGGTTTGCAAAATCATTTGATAAATCTTTTAAAAAAGTTTGAAGATTCCAGTAACCATTTCAAAAGATTTTTTTTTTTTGAAGGCGTTTCTTTATGGATATACTTTAAAGGTCTTTATATCAATTTTATAAATAATATGTCAAAAACCCCGTTTATTTATCGATCCCTCATGGGAGGTTTGCTATTTAAAAATCACATGATTTACTATGTTCGTAACTAGCATATTACAAATTGAATATGTTGGGAAAAGGATTAATTATTCATTATAGAAAAAGTTTACGTATTTCGTTAAACCAAGCTAATAAAGTCCCCGGCGAAAGTAATATTTTGAATGTGAAGAAATCATCGGAAATAAATTAGATACATTATATTATTTTGATCAAAAAAAAAAAACGTAAATATTGTAATTATGAAATTTTGTAATTTTATTATTTGTTCATGATTTTAATTTTTAATTTATTACTTATCGTAAAAAAATTATTGATTAGATCTTTATCAAAAATCTATATTACATATATACTGTATATATTTATTTGACACGTTAATCAAATTGTTATTTATTTACTGCTAAATAACGAATCAAGACACTATACACATATAAAATGCCGTTCGAATCCCCTTTTTTTAAAAAAAAAAATAAACGAATAAAAAAAAAAAAAAAAAAAAAAAAAAAAAAAAAAAAAAAAAAAAAAAAAAAAAAAAAAAAAAAAAAAAAAAAA